TTTCTATTTTTCATCACACTTTTTTTGTCTTTATCTCTTTACCCTCCTTCCATCTTTCTCAAATCTCAACACACAAATCTTTTTTCTCCCTCTTTATATTTACTCTGCACACAATCCAACAAATCTAGGGTTTCAATTATTCAAATTTCTTTGAATGTGGTTGAGAGTAGGTGAGGAGCTGTAAATGAGCTGAAAGTGGTGTGGTTGGATTGATATGGGTTCTTCTCATTTACTGAATTAGCCTTTAATTGTGTGTTCAAAATTCAATCTTTTATGAGTTGTTCTTTTTCCATTTTTTTGTTCTGTTGGTGTTATTTTGTCAGGTGAGATTGGATTGCTCTTAATTGATTTGATCCAGAAAAACCCATGTTAAACCCTTTTTAAGAAAAAGAAAGGAAAAAAAAAAAAAGAATTCTGCATTCAAGTTCTTGTGTTCTAATAATTATCTTCGTTGTTTTGTTCAATTTTTGTTTCTTAGGGATTGTTTGCTTACTGGGCGAGTTTCAGATTTGTGGATTTAGGATTTTAAAGAAAAAAAGAGAGAATCTTTAGTTCGAACTGCTAGAGTCTTTAGTTTGCATTTTACACATTAAGTGCATGGATGGCAGAGAAGGAATGGCTTATCCAGGTTCAGCTTCATACTACCTCAACAGAGGTGCTGGGCCTGGAAACCCGGTGACGGGCCCTAATATCCACGGGGGGACTAGTGGCGGCCCTCAACCAGCGGGCATACGCACGCTCCCACCACCGGTTTTCAAGAACCTCTCAAACCCAAACATTTCAGTCCAGCCCAATGTAGGGGCCGGCAGTGGTGGTGGTGGTGGTTCTGCCAGTGGAAGCCCGTCCTTCCATATGGATAACCCGTCAGCGAATTTCTCCCATGGCAAGAGTATTGCTGTTGTGCCTGCTGCCGGGCCACTCGGGGGTGAGCCCGTGAAGAAAAAGAGGGGTCGGCCGAGGAAATATGGGCCGGATGGGTCTAATATGTCTTTAGGTTTGTCCCCACTTTCTGGCCCCAGGAATTCATTTGGGGGGAATATGAGCTCGGGCGAAAAGAGACCAAAAGGGCGGCCCCGCGGGACGGGATGGAAACAGAAGCTTGCCCCCCTCGGTAAATCCTTGGTTTATTTTGTGTTGTTTGAGGCATAATCTTGATTTTAGTCCCATATAAAATGTTGCAGCTTCTGAACAATGTGATTAGACATAGGTTGGAAGAGCTCATGGTTTTTACTCTTATCTCTAGTCCACTGGGATTTTTATGCTTTAGTTATTGTTACTTCATTCTTGAGCAGGATTGCATAATAATTGAAACATTTGAACTAGGAATAGGTGTATTTTTTTCTTTTATAAGCCTTGATGTTTAATTTATGTATGATAATGGATTGTATGATTGAATACCTTAAAGGAATTGTAGAGATGCTATGTCGTGAATCTTCCGGATTTGAATACCCCATTTTACAATATCATATCTCTAATTATACTCTAATTATATGTCTTTATTTTTATGGAGATATGTTTAGAATTCTTGTCCTTAAAGATGCCTTTTATTTGATCAGGTGAGTGGATGAATAGCTCAGCTGGACTTGCTTTTACACCACATGTCTTGCGAGTCGCTGTTGGAGAGGTTTGTGTCAATACATGTTTATGTGATATTTTCTTTGAGATTTGCTAAGGAGTTAAGGTGCATTTGGACATGCTTACTATTAGGAGTGAACAGTCAAAGTAAAAGAAACTAAATATGATTATGTAGAATAACGAAGAAAAGAACACTAGTTCTCCAAGAACACGAGGTTCTCCTCAGGAAATAATCCCGCCCAACTTAAAAAGCCGTAAAACAACAATCTTATTTCTCTTGTGCCTTACACAAAAGACTAAGGACTCACTTAAATAGAATACTAACCTTAAGAAAATGACCCTAATGGACATCTTAACCTTATGGGCTTGTAGCCCACTAATTTATATTATAATACCATATATATTGATCTGCAACACTTTCATTCAGTAACTGTGAAGTGATGATCATTCTTTTTTTGCAGTTGGAAAGAAGAATGAAGTTTTATGAGATTGTGAATGGAAATGAAATCGAAATATAATGGTTAAAATTAATTTTGTACAATAAGTTGATTGTTGGTGGGAGTTGTTTGAGTGGCCGAGTGGTACAATTTTATGAAAAAAATGTTTCATAATAGCTAATGATTCAATGATTTTCCTTTCCCGAATTAATAAGTTGTCATGCCTGGTGGGTGAAATAAAAGTAAAATTGTGTGAAGAGTGTAATCTTCTGGAAGATTTAACCAAAAAACCTCGAAATTTTAACCAGGGAAGGGATAAATTCACTACTATGTTTCTGCTTTCATCAACTTTCTTTAGATTTTTCAAAAATTATTATCTGAGCAATTTCTTGCAGCTCTGATACTTGATCGGTGTTAAAATACTTTCTTTTGCCGAACCTTAAGTATTGTGATTCAATAATTTTTGACTTGCTACTGAGTTGATTAGACAAGCTCTTGATTTTTGCCTTGGGGTTTTTATGCTGCGTATTTTACGTGCTCCTCTAATTTGTATTAATTTCTCTTCGACTAAACTTGTTCTCTTTTTCGTTGCAGGATATTGCAGCAAAAATACTGGCATTTGCACAACAGAGGGCTCGAGCTTTATGCATTATGTCGGGTAATGGTTCAGTTTCTGCACTAACATTACGTCAACCTACAGCGTCAGAGGCCACCATCACTTACGAGGTTACAAATAATCCAATCCATCATTAGCCTTTTGTACCTCTGCAAGGAATGGCTTCTTTTGTCTGGGCCATCTTACCGTTTAAGATTAGTGAAAGAGCTTATGTTGATCGGTACTTTCATTTTAGGGGCGTTTTGAGATACTATGCTTGTCTGGTTCTTACTTGGTAGCTGAAAATGGTGGTCCCCGCAGTCGAACGGGTGGTATAAGCATTTCTGTTTGCAGTCCAGATGGGCATATTATCGGTGGTGCAATTGGTGGTAGGCTAACTGCAGCAAGCCCAGTGCAGGTATATATTTGACTGTTATTTTTTCTCCCCAATACAAGTAAAAATTCCTCCTTCCACTGTTGTGTAATTACGATCTGAGTGAACAACAATCAATTGTGTGGCGTTTTAAATATCCACTTCTGCTTCTAGTTTAATTGTCATACATAGTATGAAAGAGTTTTCGCTCATTTTTCTATTTTCACGAGTTTTGATTGTGATGCTTTGTGTCTGAAGGTGGTTGCGTGTAGTTTTGTATATGGCAATACTAAACCTAAGCCCAATTCAGACCCGGGAGCTCCAAAAAACACGTTCGACCAATCTGCCGAGCAACCTCCTTCCCCAATAAGGGGCCCTTCTGTTAGGATTTATAATCCAAACTCTGGACCAAGTGCTTGGCCACCGGCTTCACGCCCAGAAGTGAAAAGTTCCCAGACGGATATTGACTTAATGCGAGGATGATTCAAGCAAATACAAAATGCAACATGAGTGTTTTTTGTATATATGTGTTGTTGTAAATGGAAATTGCACTAGCCAATCGACCAACTATGGACTTGCCTCTCGGCCGGTTAGTGAGGGCGGGTCGTGTTTGCTAACATCTGTGTAATAGTGAGTCTCCCTGCTAGGTTTTTCAAGAAATTAGGTGAAATTTAGGAAATTGTTGATGAAGGGGAAGGAAGGGTATTTAGCTATGTCTTATTGGTTGTGTTTGTCTTGCTGAGGAGAAAGTGATTTAGTTTTCTTAGTGCATTGGTGGAATTTATTATCTTGGTGTTCATTCTTACTGTAGCAACATATCTTGTCAGAATTATTATTATTATTATTATTATTATTATTATTATTATTATTATTACTATTTATTATTATTATTATTATTATTATTATTGTTGTTGTTGTTGTTGTTATAATTTTATTTGTTTTGATGAAATGAGCCAATCCGATTTTGATTTTTTTTTTTTTTTTTTT